GTCCTACCAACACCGTAACGTGACACTATAGACCAGAACCAGGATCTTGAAATGAACCCTGAAGTTGACTGGCAGCCAGTGAAGCTGGAGGAGAAGCGGGGTGATGTGGGGGTGTTTGGAGGGCTTGGTCAGAAGCTGAGCACAGGCATTCTGAACCACCTGTAGAAGGTTCAGGGAGGTTCTGCTCAGACACGTGAAAAGAGAGTTACAGTAGTCTAAGCGTGAGGAGATGAAGGTGTGGATAACTGTCTCAAGTTCAGAGTGGGACAGAATGGGACTCAGCTTAGAAATGTTCCTGAGATGGAAGAAGGAAGAGCGAACAAGAGAACTGACATGAGAATCCAGGGAGAGAGCTGGGTCAAAGGTCACGCCAAGATTCCTGACAGAAGTTTTGGCATATAAACCAAGAGCAAGAGAGTCTCTGACTTTGGGAACCAGCTTGTCTGGGGCACAGATGAGGATCTCAGTCTTATCTTCATTCAGCTGAAGAAAGCTCCCAGCCATCCAGGGTTTGATAGAGTCTAAGCAGGTGTGTAACAGCTGCAGCTTAGACATCTCATGGGGCTTAAAGGAGATGTACAGTTGGATGTCATCTGCATAAAGATGGTAGGAGATTCCCTTGAAGGAGCTCAGGATGTGCTGAAGAGGAAGCAGATTGAGAAGGAAGAGCAGAGGCCCCAGCATAGAACCTTGTGGGACACCATGGGTAAGAGAGGTGGTGGAGGACCTAAACTTGGAGACAGCCACAGAAAAGGAGCACTCAGAGAGATAGGCGGAGAACCACTCCAGAGCAGATCCTGATAGGCCTACCCAGTCTCTCAGCCTCTCCAGTAGCAGGTGATGGTCAACAGTGTCAAAGGCTGCAGTCAGGTCCAACAGGACCAGAACAGAACAGTCCCCTGCATCACTGTGAGTCAGAAGGTCATTAGAGACCCTAAGAAGAGCTGTTTCAGTTGAATGAGCTCAACGAAAACCTGACTGGAAGCTATCATAGATGTTATGTTCATCAAGAGCAGCTGTGAATTGTTTAGCCACAACCTTTTCCAAGATCTTGGAGATGAACTGAAGTTTAGAGATGGGTCTGACGCTGCTATGGAGAGAGGGGTCGAGACTCGGTTTTATAAGAAGCGGGTGGATTAAGATAAGATAAGAACAACTTTATTTATCCCGAGGGAAATTCTTGTGTCATGTACATGCTCAAAGCAGTAGGAGAGACAAAGGAACAGGTGAAATAGAAATATGATATACAATATATACAGTAAAAAATGATCTACAGTAGTACCCTGTAGGATAGTGCAAAACAAACAATCGAATATCTCTACAAATAAATACATGACTGCATCCTTGTGAATAAGTAATGAAGCCGTCGGTGCAGGCGATTCACAAAAGGGATTAAAGTATTGTCTAATAGAATTAGGGGTAGTAGCAGCATATGATATGATGGGGGGATAAAAACATATTTACAATAAGAACTCTTGGGTAATATTGCACAGTCTGGGAGGGAACAGGATAACCTAGGTAAAGGTATTAGGAGAATCACCTACAGCGTGAGGAAGAGTTAAACAATCCTATTGCCACCGGTACGAAGGATTTCCTGTGGCGGTCAGTTCTGCATTTCGGGGCAATGAGTCTTTTGCTGTGATTGCTTTGATGGTCCATCATGTGGGCGTGCATGGGGTGAGAGGGGTTGTCCATGATAGAGAGAAGCTTTTTTAGCATTCTCCTCTCAGACACCTCCTCCAGGTTCTCAAGTCTAACACCCAGGACAGACCCAGCCTTTCTAATCAGCTTGTTCAGCTGGTTGGCATCAGCTATCTTCACCCCACTGCCCCAGCACACAGCTGCAAAGAACACAACGCTCTCCAACACCGAGTGGTAGAACATGGTCAGCATTTTCCTACCAACATTGAAGGACCTGAGCCGCCTCAGAAGAAAAAGCCGACTCTGCCCTTTTTTGAAGATAGCATTGGTGTTCTTAGTCCAGTCCAGTTTACAGTCCAAGTGAACCCCCAGGTACCGGCGGTAGTCCTCAACGATCTCAACGTCAGCCCCTCTTATGGTGACAGGAGTAGGAAGTGGGGCCTGCTTCCTAAAGTCCATAATCAGTTCCTATGTGATGTTAAGTTGTAGGTGGTTTCGCTCACACCACTCAACAAAGCTGTCCACCACACTCCTGTACTCCACCTCCTGACCATCCCTGATACAGCCCACGATGGCAGAGTCATCAGAGAATTTCTGCAGATGGCAAGACTGAGACTTGTACCTGAAGTTAGATGTGTAAAGGGTGAAGAGGAGGGGTGATAGGACTGTCCCCTGCGGCGCCCCCGTGCTGCTCAGGAGGTTATCTGAGCGGCAGCTCATCAGTCGGACATGCTGTGGTCTACTTGTTAAATAGTCCGTAATCCAACCTACAAGTGGGGCATCCACCTGCATTTCCGTGCGCTTATTCCCCAGCAGTGATGGTCTGATCGTGTTAAAGGCACTAGAGAAGTCGAAAAACATGACCCTCACAGTGCTCCCAGCAATGTCCAGATGAGAATATGCCCGGTCCAGCAGGTAGATGAGGGCATCCTCCACACCGATACGAGGTTGATAAGCAAACTGCAGGGGATCCAGCTAAGGCTCCACCAGCAGCCGCAGATGTTTTAGGATGAGTCTCTCCATCGTCTTCATGACATGTGAGGTCAGAGCCACTGGCCTGTAGTCACTGGGGGTCGACGGGTTGATCTTTTTAGGGACAGGAACCAGGCAGGATGTCTTCCAGAGTGATGGAACTCTCTGCATCTCCAGGCTCATGTTGAAGATCCGTTGTAAAACTCCAGACAGCTGAGAAGCACAACACCTAAGGGCCCTTGGACTGACACCATCAGGACCAGCAGCTTTGCCGGGGTGGAGTCTGCCCAATTATTTTTTGATGTCATCTGCTGAGAGGGGCAGGGTGAGACAGTCAGAGGAGGCAGGAGAGGGGGGCGATGGAAGGAGATGATGGGAAGAGCTGGCTATGGAGACAGGAGACGCTGGGCAGTGGAACCTATTGACGTGTAGATTTAGGTTGTTAGCACTTTTGACATCCCCCTCCATCCCAACACCTCTCTTTTGTCTCAGGCCAGTGACAGCCCGCATTCCATTCCACACCTCCCTGGTGTTGTTTTCCTGCAGTTTGTTTTCCAGCCTCCGTCTGTAGGACTCTTTCCCCTCAGCAATCTTGGCTTTCAGCTCCCTCTGCACCAGTTTCAGCTGATCTCTGTCACCATTTCTGAAAGCTCTTTTTTTTCTTGTTCAGGGTTGCTTTTATGTCTTTGGAAACCCAGGGCTTATTGTTGGGGAAGCACAGTATGGTTCTTTGGGGGGACTACCGTGTCAACACAGAAGTTGATATAGTCTGTAACACAGCCTGTCAGATTGTCAATATTGTCCTGATTGGAATCACAAAGAACATCCCAGTCCGTTGACTCAAAGCATCCCTGCAGAGTCTCTTCCAGCTTCCTTGTCCATGTTGTAACCGTTTTTGTGGCTGCAAGTTGTCTCTGGACGGCATGTCTGTAAAGGGGCTGGAGGGAGACCAGGTTGTGATCAGCCCTGCCCAGGGGAGGGAGAGGGCTGGAGGTGTATGCCTCAGCAGCATGGGCATAAAACAGGTCCAGTGTTTTATTGTTTCTTGTTTTGCAGTCCACATACTGCTTGAATGTAGGTAGAACAGTGGAGAGGTTTGTGTGGTTAAAATCGCCCGTTATAGCCACAAACGCAGAGGGACTACAAATTAGTACGTCCGCTGTCGCAGAGCTGATGACGTCACACGCCTGCGCCGCGTTGGCATCAGGAGCGATGTATATAATGATGATAATGGCGAGGGAAAACTCACGCGGTAGACAATATGGTCGGAGACCGACCGCCAACAGTTCTATGTGTTTGTTACACACAGCCATCCTCACCTTAACGTGACTGGGGGAACACCAGCAGTTGTTAACATAAAGAACGAGTCCTCCTCCCCTCTTCTTCTCACAACTGCCAGAGTCCCTGTCCGCTCTCACACACGTAAATCCGTTTATATCCACCACCTGGTCCGGGATGTTTTTGTGCAGTAATGTCTACGTGTAACACGTAACACTGCATTCTCGGAAAACTTTCTCAGTCCTTGTTAGCGTTGCGATCTCCTCCATCTTATTAACCAGCAATCTGAAATTGCCAGTAATCACAGATGGGAGAGCAGGACGGAATCTTTTCCTCCTCAGTCTTCGCGTTTTCCCCGCTCTGCAGCCACGGTAGTTCCTCTTGATCACCGCGGGAATCTCATGCTGAACACCGGCATGGCTGTGCTGTCTTAGCCCCAGCAACTGGTCGCGGCTATAGACAAAGGGGCAGCGTGGCGTCGCGGTCATCTCAGTTGTTTTGCGCCGAGTTTCGCATCCAAACATGGCACAAAAAGAAAAAACTTCTCGACTACACAAGAAGTAACTAAATAAACACAAAAAAAAGAAAGAAAGGGGAAAGTAGTTTTTCAACTGCAGAGAGCATGCTAGACAGGCTGCCGTCCGAGACGGCGCCGGAAGCTAGAGAGAGCGTTTTTCTATTACAGCGTTCTTAAAGTAAGCAGAGACCTGGCCAGAAACCAGAGAAGCATGAATTATAGAGAGCACGCTGGGACCGATGGACTGAAAAGCACTTTTAAACAAAGATGAGGGTAAGATGTCGAGGCGGGCATGCAGAGGTCTTCATAGAGTTAACTAGTTTGGTTAACTCAGGCAAAGAAACAGGAGCAAAGCTATCTAGGATGATGGGCCTGGTTGGAGTCGGGAGAGGCAGCGATAAGGCTGAAGGAGATGCTAGATCTAACCTTATTGACTTTGTCCACAAAGAAAGACAAAGTTCTCACAGTCTGCAACAGAGTGGATGGAGGCTGTAGGAGAGGCAGGAGAGACGACACTGCTGATGGTGTTAAACAGCACCTTGGGGTTCCCGTTGCTCTGGGACACCAGGTTGGAGAAATAGGAAACCCTAGCGTCTCTGACTGCAGAGTTAAAGGATGTCAGAAGATCCTTAAGGTGCAGCAAATGGGCGTGGAGATGGGTTTTCTTCCACAAACGCTCAATTTTCTGCATTGGCGCTTCAGGCTAAGGCTGTCAGCAGCAGCAGAAGAATTGCTAGCTGTGCTCTCATTAAGAAAACGAGAACTATCCATACGGCAAGCAGGAGGTGGGGATGCAGAAACTGACAAGTTAAAGAAAATTCAATGGTGATCTGAAATATAAACGTCCTCAGGACAAACACTGTCAGCATTTAGACTCAGGGTAAAAACAAGGTCTAGAGTGTGCCCACTGGTGTGTGTGGGGCCAGAAATGCTGGATAAAGTCAAAGGAGTCCATAAGGCTGGAGAAATTCATGGCAAAGTGATCAGAGGGATCATCAATGTGGATGTTAAAGTCACCAACAATCACCAGTCTGGACAGCTTCACAGTGAAGGATAGAAAGTCACTAAACTCCTGGAGGAAAGAACTGTTTGGACCAGGTGGACAATAAACCACATGTATGAATGTATGTGTCTGAGAGACTATGTGTGTGTGCAGAAGATTGTGACATGACACATGGAGGGACTGCGTCTATATAAAGAGTTGCCTAAAAACCCACCTCCTCCGCTTGGCATTCTCTGATTGTGTTTGAGTTAGGCCTTCATTTATGTAGATTTTAATTCCCTGCTTTCATTTGTCTCTATCTCTTGTTTTACCCATTTGTTTCCTACTTTAATGTTTTTACCTTTTTTCTCATGTACCATGTTCAGCGCCTTGGGCTTCCTGACAGGGTCGCGGAAGGCACTTTATAAATAAAGCTTTGATTGATGGATTGATTGATAATAATTAGTGTAATTTCCTCACCCCCCCCCCCCCCCCCTTTAACAAAGCTATTTCCTCCTAATTTCCATGATTACGTATTAATGATTAATTATTAATTATTTATTATTTATTATTATTATTATTATTATTATTATTATTATTATTATTATTATTATTATTATTACACCCACTAACAGTTTAACTCCTTGAACGAGATGCAGTTAAAGATTTCAGCCACCAGAGGTCAGTGGTCAGTGTAGAGCAACGAGTTTCTCCTGCTTCGTTGTTCTGAGCTCCAACATTTGCCTGGGGTGGGCTGGGAAAAAAAACATAATCGGTATTTGGTAGCAAAGCTGACTTAATTAAAGAGGATTTAAATATTGATTTTATTACCTGAGTTGTTGCATATTTAATTAAATGATGCCCAGTAATGGAATAGAATAGAATTAATTGATCCCACTGCAGCAGCAAGGGTTATAATTCGAAGAAAAGTAATATAAGTACAGTACATACACATAGGCAGTAAGGTATTGTAACCTTAATAATAAAGGGTATGAGCGGAGGGTCAGTTGTGTGATTCCTTCTTCCAGCTCAGTTCATAAATGTTTCTGGTGCTGGCAATGCTTCTGATATTAGCTTGGTCAGTATTCCTAAATATGATCTCTGCTTCTCATCAACCTGTTTTTGTTTTGTTGTTATTATTTTTGCCTTGATGTTACCTACTGATCATGATTTCCCCCAAAAGCATTCATGCTAGAAAGCTACCCTCAAACCATAATGTTCCATCTGCCATTAACAGTTAGGTTCAGGTTTAAGAGTTGGTGTTTAAAAAAAATGCAAGTTACATTTAAAATTCTATTTAAATTAATAAATGTTTTGTTTTTTTGTGGGACATTTATCCAGGAATTTATTTTATATTTTTGTAAATTGATTTGTGCTGCACTTATTTTGCTAATGGACAAAAAAACTGCTATCTTAAGATGTAGTAGCAAAGATGTTTGCCTGATTTATTTAATGAAGTTAAATGTGTATTTTAAAAGTTTAAATATTAATTTAACGTTTTTACAAGATTCTATAAATAAGGATTTGGATTACAGATGTTAGGAAAAAAGACATCTCTCTGAAAACAACATTCCTGCTAAACTCTGATCATTTATATATATATATTTTTAATTAATTATTTTATTTAAACTTTAATTTATTGAAGTTAAACTATTTATTACGTGTAATTAATTTAATGATTGCTGCACAGCTCTGATTCCGTGGTGGTACACTATGAACTTTTGAACCGCTCAGCAGCCCTGTCACACAGCCTTTCCACTTTCCGACAATAGCCGAGCTGACCCGAGGGGCGCCGACAATGACGTCATCGTATCTCGTTCTTTCGTTTTTCGCCTGCTGCGTGCGAAGGAGAGAGGAAAAAACGGTTCTCAGCAAAGCAACAAGAAGGAAGAGCAATGGCGACACTGGATCGCCAAATACCAAGTCCGGATTCCTTCCTTTGCAAGCCTTGGTCCTTCTTCGCCAGTGCAGCTAAATTACGTTTTGTTGACAGTAAGTTCGCGCGGCGGCAGTGCTGTTGTTTTCGCTGACCAAACTGTCGGGAGTGCGTGGTTCAAACTGTCTGTGATTGAGTTGAGTAAGCTCCACCAGCAGGGTCTGTCAAAGCGCAAGCAAAGTAACTGTCAGACTATTTCAATAAAATGCAACATTAAATAGGTTGCTTTGGTAGTCATGGTCATACGCGTGAGCGGAGTACCAGCGGCTCGCGCCGCTGTCGCGTGCAGTCATGATTCGCCCAACTGTCCAGCGGTAAGTTTGTTAGCTTTGACAGATCCACTCGGTGGTTTACGAAGCGCTAGCAAGCTAATGCTAAGCTGGTAGCCTACGGAGCAGCAGGGCTCCACGCATGGCCCCAAAGTTTGTTGTGAATCCCTAAGCAGGTGTTTTGTTTACTCAGACGCAGCCTCCCCTTCGGATAACGCCGACAACGAGCTCCGCTGCCCCGGTGAAGCCGTGAAGCTCGGTAGAGAAGGTAAGGAACTCGTAGTGCCACCGCTGTCACGTAGCACACGGTGATGGTTTGTTATTGTTTTGCTAAACATGCTCCTACGGTTCCGTTACACCAGCTTTCACCCGAAAAACACAGTTACTGGGCTTCGCAGCTCATGATTAAATGATGTATTATTAAAAATATAAATGCATTTAGACTTTAGCTGCTAAATTTTGGGTGGACATAACTTTTCCTGTGCTCGTTTACCTATTTTACATCACGCTGACTAATAATATAAATTTTCAAACTTAACACGTGATTAAAATGCGAAAACATATTTATACATTTCCTATATTCCACAGAAAACGTGTTCACTATTAGGTAACTATTTAGTATCACCTTTAACAGATAAAATATCAGAATTTTGTATCGAAGTAAACTGCTTTGTATAGGGTTAGGGTTAATAAATAATGAATATATATTTTTAAAAGAACAGATATGTAAAACATTATGGTCTTTATTATAAACCTTATTCTTCCTATTTGCGATGTTATTTAGGTAACGCAAGTTGGTGTTTATTATTCTCTAGCTCAAACCTAATGAATTAATTTATGTCCTTTTGATCTAAACTTTCTTCAAATAAAAATTTACAAAACATCTGAAATGCAAGTAAAATTTTCTGTTGATTAAACAACAGACCAAGTTGGTTCTTTATTAAATGTCCCATTTTTCATGAGAAGAACGACATTCTTATAAATTTCAAATCAATGCATTTTGCCAAAAAACAAAAATAAATCAAGTGCGTCACATGATTTTGAGATTTTTAAACTTAATTTTTTTTCTAATGTTTTCCCTTCAGTGAAAACAATTTCTTATCATGATTATAATTGTATATAGTTTTAGTTTTTTGTCTGAGCAGATCTAGATGACATAATTGTGTCAAGGTTCATACGCTGTTGACAGGAACAGAATAAGATGAGCGATAGTTGGCTAAATTCCACCATACTGGGTTAATCTAAAGGTATAGAACATTTTTAAATAATTATTTCTGAGTTTTTCATGCAGGCTGAGTGTGAAAATAGTCTCCTACGCAAATCTCCTGCATTAGCTTCTGATAGAAAATAGACAGTGAAACTCTAGGATTAGAAAAGCCGCACAGATCTATGTCACTCTGTCACTTAACAACAGAGAAGGCTGTAGTTGGTTTAGACCAGGGGTTGGCAACCTGTTCCCATCAAAGAGCCATTATTACCCGTTTCCCACAGTAAAAACAACACTGGGAGCCACAGCAGCCGTGGTGTTGTGGGCGGGGCCTACCCTCAGACATCTGAGAGCTGCTTTAACCAATCACAACAGGTGACAGCAGCCAGTACCGGTCACTCGTGTACGTCAAAGCTATCTTTCATAAGACGATAATCAATAAAACGATTTATATAAAGTGGATCCAGAAGTTGTAGCCCGTCTCTACCTACAATATGTTGATATTTTTCACCCTGTTGGTGGTTTTACTGAGCAGATGCCACTTTTGTCATACGTTTCTTTTTAAAACACGTTTAGACTGTTCAGAATACAAATCCAGGCTCTGTCACGTTTGATTGTTGTAATTAAACTTTGTAGGTGGGGAAGGTCAGAAAAGGATCCGATCAATTTGTTTTTCCCTCGTTTACAGTGACGGAGATAACGGCGCAGTGCGCCTGGCTCTGGTGTTAATCAAGTTTAATTTTATCTCTTTGTAACAATTTTCACAAGAAAACAGAACAGTTAAAAGCAGGGCTTGTGTTGACTGGACAGTTCCCGTATTTGACTATTTATTTTGACGGAGAAAGAATAGAAAGAATTACCCCGACGCATGCAGACGAGCTGACATTTTATTTGTTATGCACATCGCAGATGTAGCTAAATCACTCAAGAAAAGATTTCCTTCTGAACATCTGAGCTGGACACTGCTCAGCGCAGCTCGCTGTCAGCGCGTACATAAGGTGCACAGTGAGCTGAAGATGTGGAGAGGGGCTTGGAGCGCGTCACAGAACCAGAGCGCATGCAGGAAGATTCCTCCCACTGAAGGGAGTGTTTTCCAAACCCGGTCTCTCAGAGAGACTTGTCACTTAGAAATTGTTCCCTGATGATGAAACTTTGGCTGAATTGTGCTTGTTCCTGTCTCCAATGTGGCGACGCATCCACGAGCCGTCTGAGGAGAATCCCAGAATCTCACATCGTCTTCAGCTCAGAAAGCGCCGATATGATTACGCACAAGCGTGACCCGTCAACCCGGTCACACAGTAGACCGGGTTGGACCTGTTCAGGTTTACGCAGACAATCTTTACATTTAAAATGAGCTTACAGATGTAAAATTAATGCAGTAAAATATAAAGCATTTTATTTAAATATCCATTCATTATTTTACAAGCACAGAGAGCCGCATCAGCTGGATGGAAGAGCCGCATGCGGCTCCAGAGCCGCAGGTTGCCGACCCCCGGTTTAGACTCTGGGAAACGGCAGAGAACGCCTCTCTTAGTAGAAGCTGCTGCTAGCATTGTGGGATTAAATGACATCCGTATGTAAGCGTGTGTCCAACGCTATTGGCTAATGCTGAATGGTGGTCAGTTCAAATTGCATGGCGATCTACGGGACAGGGGAGGGGCTTAGCGATTAAACAATAAAGTATTACCTACATTATATAACAGTACAAGGCCAGAATATCACTTTTATGATTTTGTAAAGGATCATACCTATTCCTGAAAGGAGGAAAACTCTAGATTGTAGCTTTAAGGGTTGCATGTGGGATTTTTTTCTTGCAGATCATTGGGCATTTAGGGGTTCTCCCATAATGTGACCCGCTTCCCTCACACCCCTCATTCGGTTACACCAAGCTGAGAACCTCCACACATCGTGTATTAATACCCGCTAGAGCGTGGGCTGCAGTGTAACACGCTTGAGTCACCACTCGATAGTTAGAATGCGCTGGAACCCTCGTAGGAACGCGGTGACGCACACTCGAAGCTGGGGAAACTCTTCTTATTTTCACTGGTCAGACGCCGACCACTCATCTCCTCCCACGCTCACGCACATGCCTCGTCTCCTCCCCAGTCAGAGCCAGACGGCAACGGCGTTCCCAGAAATGCTGATCTGTTGGAAACATGACACTGGGGCCTGCTGAGACTGATACGCTAACACACAGTCACACGTCTTCCAAAAACACCAGAAAAAAAAGCCCCTGATATTCAGGAGAAACATTAGTTCTTCCGCACACACGCACAGTCGTCTGTGTCCAGGTTATTGATGGCATCCGTCTCTTCTCACTCTCACACATGCACACAGAGGAGATGACGACAGCCAGTAGAAACAGTCTGACCGCCAGCTACTTTCATCATCTCACTACTAACAGTTGTAATGTAGCTATTTGTGTGTTTAACATTCATTTTTAGTTCCGATCGTCTAACCCATCCAGCTATTGTGCCATTGCTTCAGTTTGTATTTCACAGCGCAGTGTTATACTTAGACAGACGTGCTTTAAACATGTCCCACAGATGCATTTGTGGAGGAGGAGACCGCGTTCGGCACGCCACGGCCCAGTTCTGTTTCCACTATCAGCCCAGCTGCTTCTGTTGTTTTCAAACCTTTTAAGTCGAGAGCCTTTGGCAAGTCTCTGTTGTCCTTGCACACTCAGAATTAGTCATCAGGCCAGCTCCAGCATTGTTTGCATTTAAATGATTCGGGCCGATATAAGTCATGTTATTCTCACAACCGCAGGAGTCAAAAATTAGAAAGGTTTGCCTTTTTATTTGTTTGCCATGAAGAATTTAGACGTGACACAAGGTTTTGTCCCTGAAAATGCACGCAGAACTTTTTGAATCATGGCTAGCACCACGTGGTGCTGCCTGTTAACAGCTTTACAGCTTCCTGCGGTTGCAAGTCGATCTGTTTAGAAGAGTTAAGTTTCTTCAGATTCCTCTTAAGCTGTTGAAGTCGGATCAGAATTTCAACGTTTTTATGAGAAAAAGGGAGAAAAGACACTTGAGTTGATGTGTGCTGTGCAGCATTATCAGTCTGCCAACTGAACTCCTAGCTTGTTCGCTCCTATCAGACATGATGGTGGCGTACCAATAACTGTCAGGTTTGCTTGTTCAACATACAACTTAGATGGAGCTTCAGCTCACACTAGTCAAGGAAATCTTTGGGCAGAAACTGAGAGATTTTATTGTGTGTTTGACTCAGTGTAAGGCAAAGAAGAGATGGATGCCAGGAACCTTATTTATTATTTTAAACGGACTCCGTCCTCGGTGATGGATTGTTTCTGTAGCTGTGAGCGTGCTTATTCGCCAGGTACTGATTGTTTTTTGTAGTTTATTATCTGGCCTGTCAGTTATTTGGCGGACTCTAGTCATTGACTTGAGACACACACACACACCCGCGCACACACACATGCACAAAGTTGAGGGAGGAGAAATAAACACTTAGTTTGCATTGATGTGGCAGCAGCAGAGGGAACAAACACTCTTTTGTGTCTCTGCAGACTTTAAAATTTGACATAATGATAAATTCTTTGTTTCTTTTCCCTTGCAGGACATTCTCACAACCAGAGTGACACAACTTCCTCTGAAATCTATCCCAGAAAACAAAAGTTACCACTGCTCACTTTTCAGTTCTCCAAATGAAAGTGTCCTAGTAGAAGAAAAAAGCCAATACTTGTTGGCAGCCATTGGCTTTGGAGTTTGAACTGCTGTTGATTTGACTTTTTTAGTAGTTTTGTGGGCGACAGTGATTAATCAGCTGATATTTGCCTTTGAATGATCAGCCACGCTTGTCCATACTCGACCGACCATTAAGCTTTGTTACATTAACGCTTGTTTTACTTTAGGTTTGTTTTATTTTGTCAGATTAACCCCGGGTTTCCACAGGAGCCGTCAGCAGCGCGTTACTGCAGCAGCACGTCTTGCTTGCGTAAGCTGCTGCTTGGCCCTTCCCACGAGACGCAAAGCAGCAGGGGAGCAGCTGTCACTGACCGAGCACGAAGTCACACGAGTGACTTCGTCAGTAAACACAACAACAAGCAGGAGAAAACTACAACATGGTTTGTGTTTTATGTTCTGTCCGTTTTATAATCGCCAATACGGACCTGAAAAACAAAGGAGACCGCTAGCTAGGTGATAACTTCTCACGGGGCCGCACAGTTAGTAACCTTTTTTAAAAGTAAAGCAACTGGAAGGCAGTACGTTCTTTATTCTGAAAATCTCGGGAGCTTCTCTCCATTTCCGCGTCCGATTTCCTGTCTTTCCTTCCCCAAAAATGTCGAACTTGACCCGTTTCAGAGGCGTTGCGCATAGAAAATAGAACCGGCGCGTAAAGGCCGCGACATGCTGCTCCTGAGACGCGGCCGACTCGCGCTGCTGACGGCTCCAATGGAAAAGGTTCTGTTGACCACAGCGGTTCCTATCAGCAGCTATGACGTGCTGCTGCAGTAACGTGCTGCTGATGGCTCCTGTGGAAAGCCGGGGTGAAAATCAGAAGTGGGACAAAAGAGGACAAAAATACCCAGAAACTAAATCGCCTTTGTTTTCTGTCAGGTTTCTGACACAATTGCACATATCGTAGTAACCGTTATTACACAAGGCGGGTGCCTGAGTGGTTTCAGGATGACATCAAGTGCGCCGTTGACACAAAATCAGACGTTTCTAAAATGCCATTTGTGCAGAAGTATGAAACGTGATTTTGCAGGAGATGCACACGTTCTGGTTTTGTGGGTTCAGGTACAGCTTTGTTCTGCCGATCTCGATTTTACCCAATTTAGACTTTTCTTATTAAAAATATGGGGTTACTTTAAAAACCTAATTAACTCAGAAAGTGTGCTTCATGAAGTAAAAACATCCACCTGGAAGATTTGTCATTGCTAGCATAAATTTGTGATAGTTCACGGACTGTTAAGAAAAATAGTTGCGTTTTATTTTTAAATGATGCTTTTAGTATTGGCAGTGATGCATTCACAGGGTAATCATGCTGACTGTTGTGAGAGTCTGAACACCAGCTGACATTGGTTGATGCATCTAATGCATGTGTGCGTTTCTGTTCACTAACATGAGACTCGTCATTCCTTTATTTCCCCTTCCCCCCTTTTTTTTGTATATTTTTAAAATAATTTAAAAATTTCTTCCGTGAAGCGTCTTGTGATTTTTATCTTGAGAGGCACTTAAGAAAAAACCTACTTCATGTTCTCATCCTCCTCCTTCTGTGTTAGGTTCACATGCAGTCATGGAAAAACTGAAGTTTCTGCTCGTAAAGCATGAAGAAAGTTAAAAATCACATTTTGCTGAAGCAAAAGGAAATGTATCTTCCTGCAGTCTCTCCGCTGCCCTTCATGCAGTAAAACCAGCTCTGACCTTTTCCTGTATGTAAGCACGCATTGATCATATCAGTCACAGTCTTCTGATGTTCACACACGCACGCACACGCGCACACACACACACGCGCACACACACACGCACACACACACACACACACACACACACACACACACACACACACACACACACACACGCGCACACACACACACACACACACACACACACACACACACACACTCTCTGCAGCATGGTACACTGTGTCCTTAACAGTCAAGCCGTCTCATCTGATGGGCTCTAAGCATTACTCGACTCTTCGGCTGTCAAGATGACCTCGTACAAGACTCAGACACCCACGCATTCTCTAATATATGTTTACACACACTCACACACACACACCCTGGCTCCTCTCAGTGTGTCCGGCTTAAACCTGGTGCTAATAAGTGCTGTGATTTCTCTCAGCGGAGCTTGTTTGGGTTCAAGAAGATTAGGCCCTCTTAAGGGTAGCCAGAAGCGATAATAACTGCTCTCTAATAAATCTGTTTGTTTTTCCTAATATTTATTATAAACGTGTGTTTGTGATGTTGTACCACTAACTCAAACAGTAGTCTGAGTCAGGAGACTCTGTCAGCTGGCTGTTTGGTTCTGTCTCGATCATCTTGATCAATGTGTCCGTAGTGAGTTTTTAGTCAGTAGCGACTGCGTCACACTGGACTTCCACTTTGAGGTTCTTCTGATCACCATATAATAAAAGCAGCACATATGGATCCAGTAAAACACAGATTCCACTGCTCAGCCGCTCCGCATATGTTCTATGATCAATGTCGCTGCAGCGTTGGTCGATGGACACTTCCTCTTGTGTAGGAGGGACTTTTTATGAACTGAGAATTCACGGCTGTTCAAGAGGTGTTTTATTTACACTCATGGGCAAATTTACTGGAGCTGGGGTGGACCTTTAGCCTTCAAAATCCTCTTAATTCTTCATGTCGGACTGGAAACCTTCCTCAGAAATGATCGGTTCCTCGTATTTATCAGCTCGATGATGTGAATCTGCCGTTCCACCACATACCAAAGGTTCTGCACTGGGTTGTCCACATGTTTAAAAACAGTCATCTAAACCTTGTGACATGGTGCTTTATGCTGCTGGACGTAGCCATCAGAAGTTGGCTCCACTGTGATCAACCACTGTGATCAAATAGAGATGGACATGGTGGACGTTTGAGCTCCTGCTGTCCTTCCATCATCTAGAACCAGTCTACCCGTTCTTCTCCGACTTCGATGAGGCACTTTCATCCACACAACTTCTGAGCACGGAGTAGTTTTTTATCAGTAAACCCTACAAATGGTTGTGGGTGAAAATCTCAGGAGAGTTTGCTGTGTGGGTCTGCATCCACGTATTATAAATATATATTTTTTATTAACAATATTATGTTTTTGGTCTGTTGCAGTGTTTTCTGATTCTTCAGCCTCATTTATGTACCATTGATCTTTCAGAGATGCCGGTCTGCAGCCACTTCCCAGTGTTGGAGGATTTTTGTCTCATTGTCTGCCATGTCTGCAGTAAGGTGGTCACTCCTCAGGGCATCCTCACACATTACGGTAAGAGACCAACAGCCACATACACAACCTCAGGGCGGCTTATCATTCACTATTACAGACACCACACATGTATGACCTCTGTTATGATGGTGATCAGAAATGCAGGCTGGCTCAAATAAAATAAACACGAGAATGTGCCCTTCACCTAATTTTAGTGGGAATGTTGTTTAAAAACTGGAAAGCTGCTTATGTTCCCTTATTAACATGGATCCACACCATGATGAATGTGTTTTTCCTAAATATGCTTGCCATACTTGTATTAAAATGATTGTAGTTGCTATGGAGACCGTAATCTTAATAAGAAAACCGACGTGTTGCCCGGTCGTGATCAGGATTGCATCTAGTTGTAAAAGCTCTGTGTTGAAAGAGGCTTCCAGATGTGAAAGTTTGTGTGCATTTGGATAAGAAATCTACAGAAAGTAGTTTGTTATTGATCAGCCACTGAAATTGCATCACCGTGCAGCCGCCTCTCATTGGCTGTCCTCCCTGTCCGTCCACTTCCTGTTTGTTTTTGATTGTCGCTCCACTGAGCGCTCTCGCATCTGCTGCTGCTTCAGCCTTCTGTTAGGGCTGGTGGGAAGAAGAGGAGACACGGTCACGCCTAACGCACACACACACACACACACACACACACACACACACACACACACACACACACACACACACACACACACACACACACACACACACACACACACACTCACGTATCCCCACTTTCTGTTTTCCAACCAATGGAGGTCAATGATATTGTGAAGACAACACACACACACAAACGCCTGGCAGCCGCTGTTGTTTTGTCCCACTTCCTACCCCCTGCTGGACCCCCACTCTCTCTCTTTTTGGCAGCGTTTCTGTTTCTTTGCTTGGATGACAACAGGTCTGAAGCACATCCCCGTATACACACGTACACACTCACACACACACACACACACACACGCACAAATAAGAGGGCTGTAAAACGAAGGGATCTGCTGCTCATAATACAATCGTTTAAATGTATTTCTGTAGTCCCTCTTAGGTCAGCCATTACAATAAAAATAGTATTCTCTGAGTTTTCTTTTTTATTTAAAAAAAGTTTTTTGCACCCAGCAGCTGTGTCATATAACTTATAAAAAGATGCTCCTACTGACCTCTGCTGAATGGATTACTCACCCTGTCGAGATGGACTTTTTTTTATCGTTTTCTGTATTTCCTCCTATTGTTGCACATTTCCATCATGTCTCTGCACTGTGCACACAAATGCAGTTCCATTGTTCCCTGCAGGGGATTCCGCTTGAAACACGGCAACCTCGAGAAGAGTTTAGACTCGTGGCTGCAGCCTTGTATTTGTTTTTGTGAGCATCCATCCATCGAGGATTCTTAGCTCTCAAGCACGAGCTTTACATTATACAGGAGTGAGGAGAGGAGCTGCCTCGGGGGTCAATAGTTATACATGCCCAGATTGCTGCATTTGAACATTAGTGTGACCGGATTTAATTTATGTAATCCCAGAATAAGATTTACTATGTTTCACACATCACAGTCCCACTCCTTTTAATGGATTTGTTTATTTAAATCATCTTAGAGTAAAACAAGCTTGATGTTCTGAGCCTAAGTGAGAAATAAACTAAATCCCTCATGCTAGCTTGTCAAAGGTACAATGGCAAATCTGCAAAGCAAGCTTACCTTCTCAGTGGACTAGTGGTACCGTGTCCACCCTGGGACTGGGAGATCGGGGTTCAAATCCCAGTCGGGTCATACCAAAGACTTTAAAAATGGGACCCAATGCCTCCCTGCTTGGCACTCAGCTTTAAGGGGTTGAATCGGGGGTTAAACCCCCGAGCACGGCTACAGCTGCAGCTCACCGCTCCCCATGGGCATCATAGGGGTCATATGGGAGATGTAATTTCACCAGTGTGTGATGATGAGTATGGGACTTTAAGCTGGTTATTGGGCATCATGTGGTCTATTGCACAGTCAATAATGATGATTGTTGTTATTCCTGCATATCTACAGAAAAAACTGTTCCATCTTAACTAAATCATTTAGCCAAGTGTATGGTGGATCACATTCAACTTTTTTTGTTTGGGTAGCAAACAGCTCAGACCCCACTGGTTCTCATCCTGACTGCTTTCATTTAGCCAAACATAGACATGGATTCCTTTTAAGATCTTTAACAATAAGAGCCCACAAGCAAACTTTCAGCATTTAAAAAAATAAAAAATCAAACATTCAAGGGTCTTCACCTAGTCACCACTAGAGCTGGGCGATGTGACAAAAAAATTCATATCCTGATATAGCTCGTTTTATTTCCTGAAAACTATTTAGTTAGCGATATAGCATCATTTCTTTTAGTTAGATTCATAGTTCATATCTTGGATGGATTGTTTGCACCAACTCACAAAACCCACGTTTCTCGACCGTGTAGACTGGAACATTTGCAGATCCTTCCATCTGCAGAAGCTGTGGTTATATGGTGGGCCTACTACAGCGTCTGCTATCATCTGCCTCCATGTTTGTTAATGCACGGCTAGCGTGCATGGGCATGCCGTAAGGTGCATCTTGACATAAAATACTGCCGTAAAACGCCTAAGCATGGTGTAAACGGTAGAGCTTAAAAGAAAACAAGACATTTTCTATCAGACAAACTTAATATTTAGTTATATCGCCCAGCCCTAGCCTCACTTATTGCCGTGCTTTCATCCTGCTAATCCGTCTCTTACATATTTGTTATTTATTAAACAGCAGGTGCCAAGCCTCTGGTTAACGTTTTCCAACAGACAGTTATAATTATAGAAAAATAAACTCCAATTGTCTGGCTCCACAATTTACCTAAGTTATTTTTGTTGGATGTTTTTTTTATCATTTTATAAAATTGTCATGATAAACAATGCACCAAGTTTTGCATGTGTTTCCCCTGGGTGAACCTTAAATCTGATCAGGATGTTAAAGAGACTATAACATGAGTTCTATAAGGAGAGAGCTAGCTCTCGCTATCAAACAGCATTCTGTGTGTACAGTTGGACCCTGAGCAGAACAGCCTGCTAGGAAATGCTGTGTTTGGAGGAACGTGTGTAAATAAATGAAGCGTCCACCATGTTTTTGGAGAACATGGCGTAGTCCAGCCCCTCCTCATCTGCTCTCGTTTCCACTTCTCTTCGTCTTCCTCTGCTAACCTCCTCCCTCCTGCTTGTGGCCTGCTGTGTGGAGTTAGTTAAGCACATGATGAAGGGGGTCGTGTGTGTCTGTGTGTGTGTGTGTGTGTGTGTGTGTGTGTGTGTGTGCGTGTGCGTGTGCGTGTGCGTGTGCGTGCTCTGACTGTGGATGTATTGAGCTCGGAGGAAGATCAAATCAATTCTGGTTTTCCTTTTAGTTTGATTTTACTTCCGACTTCATGAGTGTTCAGGTTGCTGTTTGTTTTTGTGTTTTCAACTGGTGGGTGGGTGGGTGTGTGTGTGTGTGTGTGTGTGTGTGTGTGTGTGTGTGTGTGTGTGTGTGGTTATTCATCTCACCTACTATTTGGCTGATGAAGACATTTGCCTGTTTAGTTTTGTTTACTGGTGGTGAGTGATGCTTTTATTGCTGCTGTGGGCTGGCTGCATGCAGACTATTAGCGGAGATGTGGGACAATTAAGTACCGCTCGATTTCTTTACTTTTTATATTTATGTATTAATAGGGCTGCATGATATTAGGAAAACCTGCAATATGCGATAACAGTGATTAATATTGCGATGATGATATTACTTGCAATAAATAAAAACAACTCGGGGAAAAAAATATCAAACACAAAGAAATTAAAAAATGACAAAAAATCATAACAATGAGAAAAGCAAAAGATGTGTGGAAAGGGAAAAATAAAATGAACAAGAAAAAGCAATCAGTGGATCCCAGGAAAAGCAGAATCAGCAGAAAGAGCAGAACAAAGCTAACTCAGGTGTTTGCTAACCATCAAACGTAAGTGCCGTCCGCCTCGGGGGCTGGCATCTAACCTATGAGAACCCACCCAATAGAGCTCCGGACATCACGTGACTCTTACCCTGGCTTTCCACAGGAGCCGTCAGCAGCACGTTACTGCAGCAGCACGTCATAGCTGCTGATAGGAACCGCTGTGGTCAACAGAACCTTTTCCACTGGAGCCGTCAGCAGCTGTCAGCAGCGCGAGTCGGCTACGGCTCAGGAGCAGCATGTCGCGGCCTTTACGCGCCGGTTCTATTGTCTACGCGCGACATCTCTGAAACGGGTCAATTTCGACATTGTTGGGGAAGGAAAGACAGGAAATCGGACGCGGAAATAGAGAGAAGCTTCCGAGATTTTCAGAATAAAAAAACGTACTGCCTTCCAGTTGCTTTACTTTTAAAAGAAGTTAGTAACTGCGGTCCCGTGAGAAGTTATCACCTAACTAGTGGTCTCCTTGTTTTTCAGGTCCGTATTGGCGTTTATAAAACGGACAGAACATAAAACACAAACCTTTTGGAGCCATGTTGTAGTTTTCTCCTGCTTGTTGTTGTGTTTACTGACGAAGTCACTCATGTGACTTCGTGCTCGGTCGGTGACAGCTGCTCCCCTGCTGCTTCGCGTCTCGTGGGAAGGGCCAAGCAGCAGTTTACGCGAGCAAGACGTGCTGCTGCAGTAATGTGCTGCTGACGGCTCCTGTGGAAACCCGGGGTTAAAGAGTAGACGCCATGTTGGCAGGCAACAAAGGTAAACAAAATGAACGGGATCGGCTTGGATTTTACTCCGTTGGAGTTTACTTCACACTTTAAAACCGAAGAAATCGTTTTATATAGTCAGAAATTAAATAGACTAAACATCTCCGACCCTTACCGTGCCCCTGGGATACTTTTTAAAAAAGCCAGAAGCTGTCAGAGTGGACTTCTTGCTGGACCTGGCCAGGGAACCCCTTGGGATTCCCCCGGAGGAGCTGGCCCAAGTGGCTGGGGAGAGGGAAGTCTGGGCCTCTCGACTTAAGGCTACTGCCCCACGACCAGACTCCGGATAATCGGATGAAAATGGATGGATG